CATTTTCCCTCATAATTCATATCATCAGTGATATAGATCATTTCATGAGGATTCCTCTTTATGGTACTATGTCATGACCACAGTACCTGCACTACTGCCCCGGAGGGCAAGCACGGAAGCACATATGAAATTGAAACCATTTGTGTTCATGCTAAGAATTACTAGCTTTTACATTATCGACACCTCAACACAGAGGATAACATTTTGGGGTTAAATGCTTCCCTAGCGGCTCAGTTGGTAAAGAATATGCCTGCAATGCAGGAGACCTGGATTGGACCCCTGGGTCAGAAAGATCACCTGGAGAAGGAAATAGCAACCCACACCAGTAGTCTTTCCTGGAGAATTCCATAGACAGAGGAGCCAGGCAAGCTACAGTTCATGGGATCACAAAGAATCGGACATGACTGCGCAACTACCTTTCCTTTCACTTGCTCAAGGATGCAAAAGCAATCAGTTACGATTGAAAATTTGATCTAATAATTACTTTTGAGAATTGGTCACACTTTATAGCTATGGCTATCCTCCACTGTGATCCCCAAATAAGAGGCTTTAATAAATGCTTATGTTTGAAGATCTAAAAGGTTTAAGTTGATCGTAGAAAAACAAAAGGCCAATTTTTTCATAAATAGGGCAACAGTCTACAAAGGAAAGACAGCATACTCTGGGAGTCAGAGATAAACATGTTTGAGTTCCAACTCTTCCTGACACTATATCTGAGTGACCTGCACAACAATTTTGTCTGCTTCCTCATTTGAAAATCTGCAAAGAGAATCAGTGAAAGAACAGTTTTGGTTTTGAAAGTAGATGGTATGTACTGAATTATGTCCTCCTCATCTCCAAATTCATATGTTGAATTTGTGACACCCAGTGTGACTATATTAGGAGATACAGGTCTTTACAGAAGTACTTGAAGTTAAATGAGGTCATAAGGGTGGGGACCTGATCCAATAAGATTAGCATCCTTATAAGCGGGGTCATGAGCTCAATCTCACTCTCTCCACCCTGTGAGGACAATATAGCAAGAAGGCAGCAGTCTGCAAGCCAGGAAGAGAGTTCTCACCAGACACCGACCCTGCCAAACCCTGATCTGAGACTTCCAGCCTCCAGAACTATGAGAAAATACATGTTACGTAACACACCCAGACTGCGGTGTTTTGTACTGGCCGCTCGAGCTGACCAAGGCAGTGGGGATAGCACGATGCCTGTGTTTCCTGAGGTAAGGGGCCATCAGGATCATACATTCAGTGCTGCCGCTTCCCACTTACAGGATGACCTCCTGTGTGGTTGTGAATATGTATATGTAGCATGTAGTGGTGGATACACTTGGTGGTTCAAAATAGGGGCTTTGGAAGATGGCTGTCTGGGTTTGAATCATGGTCTGGCTGCTTACCAGCTGTGTGTCTATAGGCAAATGACTTGGACTCTGTGAGCTTCAGCTTCTTTACCAGTAAACTGGGGAGAATGACAGTGTATCTCCCACAGTATTCCCAGGTGGCACCAGTGGTAAAGAACCTGCCTGCCAGTGCAAGAGATGAAAGAGGCGTGGCTTTGATCCCCGGGTCAGGAAGATCCCCTGGAAGAGGGCATGGCAACCCCCTCCAGTATTTTTGCCTGGAGAATCCCAGGGACAGAGGAGCCCAGTGAGTTACAGTTCATAGGGTCTCAAAGGATCAGACATGTCTGCAGCAACTTAGTACACACACATATTGTTATGTGGATTAAGTGAGTCAGTACATGTTAAGCTCTCAGAACAGCAACTGGTGCTGAGAGCTTCATAAGGATTAATTTTATCATTATACACACCCACCCAGACAGAGACACACTCACTTTCCCTTCCCTACCTGATCCTCTAAAAGAGTAAATCTGCAATTAACCTCTAAAATTCCATGATTACTTTAAAACTTACACTCTGGAAAGAGTAAATCTGCAATTAACCTCTAAAATCCCATGATTACTTTAAAACTTATTGGCTGCTTGTGCCTACAAGAGATTAGAGAAATACTTAAGATGTGGAAAAAGAGATGTGAAAATGCTACATCTGATCAATTTACTCTTACATGAAGGGGAAAAGGAGTTCTATGTAAATCATCCATCATTTTCATACTAGCATTGCCATTACTCAGAAGAAAACATTTTCCTCCAATCAGAAGCAACTCAAACATAACTGACTTTTTGTTTTCATATTTACGTTCTTCAGGGCAGATATTAAATACCAAGAAAAGGTAACTGTGACAAGAGATCACAGTGACACTTTTTAAAAACAATCAAAACTTTTCTCAGTTTTTCTCATGAGTCCTGCTTTTCTATTTAGGATTCATCTTTGCAAGGTTAACTCTGACCTAGGGTGCTAAATTTTCTCTCTGAGAAAATTTTCTCTCAACAGAAATTCAGCACTTGTCATAAATATAACTGTAGGATCATTTCACCATGGGAAGGGGACAAATTGGTCTAACAGAGCACACAATAATGCATATCCAGCTGATTTGCTGTGTACCGAGAGTGGGGATCTTCAGAGCAGCCTTTTCCTATTATTTCCATCAATTTTAAAGGAATCTTTAAACTGGGTTATTTTTCGAGTACTAAGTCTGATTTTGTTTTCAAAGAGTTTTGGATGGCCAACAAATTTTATATGCTTTCTTTGTAAGAATTTAAAGATCTGGCTTATAACCACTAAATTACACGCTGTCACGCCCTCTCAATTTTAAAAGTAATTAGAGTTTGATGTAAAATTTAGAACCTATCAATTTGACCAACTGTATACCACTTGTGCTTGAGTGAGGGACCAAGTAGTATAATATGTGACAGAATCGAAGTAATATTAGATGAAGAAATAGAACAATTGCCCGAATATATGAACACAGCCACTGGCAATAATTCTTGGGAATTCCTTTTGTTCCCAGGAATTGATCTGATTTCACAGGCAATGTGAGGATCTGAGTAAAATCCATGGAGAGTGTGTGACCAAAGAGACTGTACAAAATATATTTCTTGGTAGCTGAAAATATTATTACCAATTAACAAATAACAGCAAAAAAATTAAAAGGGATCCAGAAACAATTGAAAATCCACTACACTGAGAAGCTTCAGCATACTGTCAGTCAAATGGCTAATAATGTAACTTTTCATCTGATTCAGTTATTTAAAAAATGTTTTCATATTTTCTTTCTCTCTACATATACTTTTTCTAAACATAATTCAAAAAATTAGGAGTTGTCTGCCTGTGGAAACTCCAAATTCATTTAAATTAAGAAAGCTATGCAAAGTTTTTAAAATTATTTTTAATTGAAATTATAAATTCTGCTAATTAACTATTCCAGCTTGAATTTAGATAGCACTAATGTTTAATTTACCTAATAAAATATATGCTAACTGCCAATTACTTATCATTAGTGGCTTTACAAATATTACTGTTTACTAGATACTGATCTTATGAAAATATTTTAAGTGTAAGAGAACAGGAATATATAGGTGATTAAGTGAAGTGAAAGTTGCTCAGTCGTGTCCGACTCTTTGCGACCCTATGGATTGTACAGTCCATGGAATTCTTCAAGCTAGAATACTGGAATGGGTAGCCTTTCCCTCCTCCAGGGAATCTTTCCAACTTGGGGATCAAACCCAGGTCTCCCACATTGCGGGCGGATTCTTTACCAGCTGAGCCACCAGGGAACGTCAAGAATACTGGAGCGGGTAGCCGATTCCTTCTCCAGCGGATCTTCCCGACCCAGGAATTGAACCAGGGTCTCCTCCATTGCAGACAGATTCTTTACCAACTGAGCTATCAGAGAATGATTAATGGAAACTTTAACCCTGGGTGGACATTTCTGTGCATTGCATCATTTCTGGTCCTGCCTGTATGAAGTGTTGGCCATGTTCTCTTAAGCAGAGGAATGATATAAGGACCCAGAGAAAAACCTGAATACAGGATCATTAAATAAAATACTGCTCATGGAGACAATCTGCTACTGTTAGTGACACAACATTCAGATTCTTAGTATTTGTCAACAGTTGAAAAGTATTCTTGTTGAAAAGCATATTTTCCCAGAGTCTACACCATGATGCCTTATGAGACATGATGATGGTAGGGAGATTATGTTGATAATAATGTCTCAAGCAGGAAACAATTACACAAGCTGTGAGCTCTGAACCAATACTCACAACACCAACGGTCACCAGTCACGAGCATTTCCAAACGCTCACTTTTTGAAGACTATAACATCCTATAAAAATCAAATGCATAAACTATTCTTTTTTTTTCCTTTGGCATTCTACTAATTATCCTTCATGCAAAAATAATGGAATCTTAATATATCAGTCTACAAATCATGGTAATAAATTCCTATCTACCTGAGAATTGATGGATTTGATTTATCTCCATTTTCCTTTGTGTAAAACCATCTCTGTTTCTCTACACAAATCAGCTTTTAGCAAATGAACGGAAGGAGGACAAAATACTGCAAATCAAACTGGCACCTTATTCTTAAAATGAAAACTTTCTGGCTTCAAAATGAACAAAAGTATTGCCCTAAAAAAAAGTTGACCTAACTTTGTTTTTATGTATGAGAAGAAGCTCATTGCAGAGGAAAAGCACACATGATTTATGGGTTTTCTCTGTCGAGCTACAGAACTTTAATCCAGAGCTCATGAAAGGGTGCAAGAGCAGCTTGAAAATTATGCTGAGCTTAATTATACTTAATGTGAATTATTCAGAAGTGCAGACAGAGACTAAAAATTTATTTCATACAAAGAAGCTTGACATTTTAATTGGTCCTTCAGAATGGAGACAAAACAATTTCCTCTCAAGAAAATTTACATCCTCCCTATCAGAGCTGAAACCTCAGCCAAGCAGAACTTCATTAACAAGATTAATTATCGCACTAGAGTCTGCTTCATCAGGTGTATGTATGGCCCAGGTAGAAAGAAGAAAATGAAATAATGACTAACATTTCAAAAAGACAGCATTGACTCAAGGAGGGAAAAATGACAGATGAAAACCACCATACCTTGGTCATTAGCCATTTTGTCAGGGTGTTCCACTGTGGAGGAAAGAGAAATAATATTATTAGATATTGGCAGTTTCCATCAAGAAAGGTGACATTTCTAGTCAATGGTTTTATTAGTGAGTTCTCATATCAAGGCCAATGCCCTGTTGAAATAAAATTGATAAGGAGTGGGTTACTGATTATTTCAATTAAATTAAAGAAAGAATTTGAAAGTAATATTTTGCTGTGTGAATGTGTTGTAAAAAATGTTATTTGTAAGAGTCCTCTAAACACAAACCCAAAATTATTATCATGCAAGTTTAATAATACAATTAACAGTAATAAATGCATGCTATTACCGAGTAATTATCATCCATATATTTTAAATAAGTTAAGGAAGCTATTTTCTTGTATTCATTTTTAATTTTTCAACAAGAGAACTTAACCAATTCTCACAGGAACAGAGTAAAGTAATAAAATATCATAAAGTTTAATCTGAATGGTTTGATTTTAAATCTTGTGAGGCAAGGTCTTGAACTGTTGGCAATTTTAAATGAATTATGTATCAGTCAGTTAGTTCAGTCACTCAGTCATGTCCGACTCTTTGCGACCCCATGGACTACAGCACGCCAGGCCTCCCTGTCCATCACCAACTCAGAGAGCTTACTCAAACTCATGTCCTTTGAGTCGATGACGCCATCCAACCATCTCATCCTCTGTCGTCCCGTTTTCCTCCCTCCTGCCTTCAATCTTTCCCAGCATCAGGGTCTTTTCAAGTAAGTCTGTTCTTCTCATAGGTGGCCAAAGTATTGGAGCTTCAGCTTCAGCATCAGTCCTTCCAATGAATATTCAGGACTGATTTCCTTTTGGATGGACTGGTTGGACCTCCTTGCTGTCCAAGGGACTCTCAAGAGTCTTCTCCAACACCACAGTTCAAAAGCATCAATTCTTCGGTGCTCAGCTTTCTTTATAGTCCAACTCTCACATCCATACATGACTACTGGANTGAAAAAGATAAAACAGGAAAGATATCTTACTAAGTAGAAGACTGAATTATAAATCACTTTTGGAACATGGTGTATAAAAGCATGCTTATTAGATTAAGATTCAACAAGCTTTAAATAAGTTTTATAACTGTCTTTGTATCTCTTCAAGATTTAACAATTTTCAACTCCCTAGGTCATCTAATCCAGTCTTTTCAAATATAATCATTACAGTTTAATGGGTATCTTAATTTTTCTCTCCCATTTCCCAATCAACACTAATGATGTCTCAAAATATATTTTCTTATAGTATTAGGGAATTGTTGATGAGAGGTGCTTTTGAGAGGCAAATGCATTATCTATTGGTTACGTAGAGAGAAAGGATCCTAATGCAGCTTTTAAGGAAGAACACTTTGCTCTAAGAAGTGTCATACCAAGTGTTCAGTAAGAATGAGGAAAGGCATGTCAGGGTCTACAAGACCAAACAAGCCAGGAAAGGAAAAGTTTGGTAGTCAGACCAGAACACACTTGAGAAACTACTTGAATCAGCATCTCATATTTAGGCGAGAACTTTTTGGAATGATATTAAAAATAAGAGAAGAAAAGTGGTCTCATCTTATTGCCATTCTTCATCTCTCCCTTTGTCTTTAATTACATAATGCATTACCTGCAGTTCAAAAAATTTTTGGCAAGTAACAAATAAATACATGTATGGTGAATAATACTAAAGAATATTTCCCAACAGGGACTAAATGTGTTCTAATAAGTACTTTTTTATTAAAGAAAATAGTGACTCTCTGAAATTAAAAACAGATGCCAAAGTATTATAATTTTATGCCTTGAATTTTTAATTTCTCCTGTCACCTATCATGAATATCATGTACTCTGTCAGAAAATTCTAACAAATAATTAATAACAAATTCTAATAAATAATTTAGTTTTATTTAAAAACTGAAACTTTTTTGTATTCTGGAACACAGCCCTCAGTTCCATATCCTTGTATGGGAGAGATGCACATTTCAGAATGGCAATTAAGGATGCCCAGGAAAGAGACCATATGCTACTGCTCTTCCACTGCTGAAGACTCTGCTTCCCTGTGCAGGAGATGACTTCATCTCTCCACAGGTGCCCTCTTTGGTCTACTCCATCAGGAATGTCCTTCCTCCTTATTACCTGACAGTCCAATACAGAGAAGCTTACTTTACTAGAAGGAACGACTCACGTGATGGGCAGAAATAAATATACATTTCAGACATCTTTCGAGGTTTCTCTAGTGTGCAGGTATCATAATGCAAAATCTGGAGAAGGGAGAGTCCTCTGTGGTCAGAGAATGAAGTTCAAGGTTCTTCCAATTAACATTCCAAAGAAAGAATCAGATCTACCACATGTATGTACAATGTTGTACAATGCATGTACAGAAAAAAAAAGGCAAGGATAATTTAATCCCTTTTAAGTTATAAGTATCCTTTTATTTAACCAATGATTACAGATTGAGTTTCCTGTACTTCTCTGACTGGTGGCCAAAACAAAAATAGAAAAACCTTACTCTCCAGTAGAAAATGCTTCTATCTTTACAAAGACTGAGTATGAGAAAATGATGCTATTAATGACTGACTAAGGCACAATTTGCAGCTCTCATAGACTACTGAGAGTTTCCCCAGCTTCAGGGCAATAAGGAAGCCTTTCTGTCTGTCAGACATTACCTTCTGATGAACAGAGGCCTTATATTTTGAAGCAGCTTTGGAAACGGAAAATCTTAAATCAGAGAGCATTTTATCTTTAGTGTAGATGTGGTTCACTGTGGCTTCAAATCTCTTATGATGAGTAATTTATTTACTTTAGACCATCTGTCATGTGACACATATATAAGGTTCATGCCTATGCAATATCAATTGTTGATAAAGATAGGCAACATCAGTGTCTGAATCATTTAAAACACACTTAAGACATCTGAAACTTAGTTTCCTATAAGACCATGGGTTTCCCTCATGGCTCAGATGGTAAAGAATCTGCCTGCAATGTGGGAGACCTGGGTTCGATCCCTGGGTTGGGAAGATACCCTGGAGGAGGGCATGGTAATCCACTGCAGTATTCTTGCCTGGAGAATCCTCCCAGACAGAGGAGTCTGGTGGGCTATAGTCCATGGGGTTGCAAAGAGTGGGACACAACTGAGCGTCTAAGCACAGCACAAGACAGCATAAAAATCGAATTGTCTATTAACTGAATACGATATACTTTGGGTAGATAATCTTAAACATTCAAATCAGGATATTAGAAATAACACTTATGGACTATTGTGACATATAACATATTTTGAATTTGTTCTTAAGCATCTCATGGATGAGTTCAGGGCACTTAGAGTAAACAGTACCAAATGGGATATGAAGTTCATTAAATAATCCACAGGATGGTGAACAATAAGAGGCCTATATATCCTGAGATAACTCATCTCTCTGTTGCTTAATACCTTTGGATGTCTTAAGTTATCTTAAACCCTCTATGAGATCTATAGTTGGCATACATTGTGAGCATGAAATTAGTTTGGCACTTGTCTATAGATAAAGATGAAACATTTGTGAAACATTATCTAGTTACATTTCATGCTCCCACAAAATGAATAACCGGTTTCCTTTCAATTGCTCATTTGGAGTGAAATCTGATTTAGACATGAAGTCCTAAAAACCTGGATAGGCGAAGACTGGCTCATTTTTCTCTTGCCTTCCTTCCAACTTCTACTCTGTCCTTAAAGAGCTGTCATGTAGGCTTAGGTTGAATGCTTATTTGCATGTTCTTGGCAAACTTTCAGATTAGCTGCTACCAAATCTAGCTTTTGAATAGCTCAATCACCAGAATCCAAAAGTCTACTGTTTATTAGAGTATTTTTCCTAGGAGAACTGAGAAATGGACTATCTAATTATTCTAAGTCTCTTCTTCAATTTGTCCAAGCAAATGGGTAAAAATGTCAACCCAGATATGTCTTTCTAATTTGTCAGTTGCTTGCCATCATGTTTTGGTAAGGTTTCAGACAGATATATAGGCATAGTGTGGGAAGGGATTTAAAAACCAAGTATCCTTTTTTAAAGGCTTCCATGGTGGCTCAGATGGTAAGGATCTGTGTGCCAAGCAGTAGACATGAGTTTGATCCCTGGGTCAGAAAGATCCCCTGGAGAAGGAAATGGAAACCCATTCCAGTATTCTTGCCTGAGAAATTCCATGGACAGAGGAGCCTGGTGGACTGCAGTCCATGGAGTGGTAAAGAGTTGGACATGACTTAGCAACAATAATACATATCATACCTTAAATACACATCTCTAAATATCAACTATGGAACACCTGAATTATTTTCAATTGCTAAATAATAGAGGCTCTTGAAATCATTCATCCATCAAAAAAAATTAATATTGTGCTCTAAAACAGAAAGAAATTATATGAAAATCATTATGAGGTAGTCAGTATTCTTAGGCCTTTTATTTTTCTGTATAAACATACAACTATCCTTAAATTGAGCAGTGATTTTTATACTTGTAAGCATGTAGAGTACTCTTCTAGTAATCATGATGTAAGATTTTCTTTCTTGCTGCTATTGTGTGTCCTTAAAAAAATTAATTTTGTTTGAGATTTTGTCTTGCTATATCAAAATTTCTTTTTAATACATAAGGACACTAGTTCTTGAAAGGAAATACTTAAACTTGGTACTAGATAGCATGCATGCAATTCACGCAATAAAATGCTTTTTAATTTTTATCCCTTAAATACAATGGCTAACGTGTTTCATTATATTTTGAATAGAGCCCATACATTTGAAATCAATATAAAATTCCAACAAGAGTGTAATGGAAAAAAAGTCAAGTTAAATATGTCTACTTTGTGCTGATGACAGAAAATGTAATAACATAATAGATATTTCCTTGACATGCTGGCTTTCAGCATAAAAAGGTAACTTTTAATTATCTTTTATCTTATTTGTTCCAGTTTCCATTTTTTTTTCAATTATTTAAGAAATAGCTGACATGCATCCTAAGTCACTTCCGTTGTGTCCAACTCTTTGCAATTCTATGGACTGTAGCTCGCCAGACTCCTCTGTACATAGGATTCTCCAGACAAGGATACTGGAGTGGGTTGCCATGCCCTCTTCCAGGGGATCTTCCCAACCCAGGGATCGAACCTGCATCTCTTGCATTGGCAGGCAGATTCTTTATCACCAGCGCCAACTGGGAAACTCCACATCACTGTATAAGATATACAGTAAGATGATTTATTTACATATATTGTGAAATGATTATCATAATAGCTTTAGTTAATAACCATTATCTTGTATAAATACAATAAAAAGGAAAATTTTTCATGATAACTATTGGAATCTACTCAACAAATTTCCTGTATATTAGACAGCAGTGTTAACTACAGTTATCATGTGTTTATTACCTCCCTAGTACCTACATCTCTTATAACTGAGAGTTTGTGCCTTATAATTACCTTCCTCCAAATCCTTCCCTCATCACCTCCTACCTTTGATAACCACAAATCTGATCTCTTTTTCTGAGTTTGGTGTTTATCTGTTTGTTTAGGTCCCATATATAAGTGACATCATACAGCATTTGTCTTTCTCTCTGATTTATTTTATTTAGCATAACACCTGCAAGGTCCATTCATCTTGTCACAAATGGTAGAATTTCCATGGTTTTTTGTATGGCTGAGTAATATTCCACTACATATATAAATTTATTACATATGTGTGTGTGTGTGTGTGTGTGTGTGTGTATTCCATTATATCCATCAATGGACATTATGTTGTTTCCATGTCTTGGCTATTGTACATAATACTTCTATGAACATCAGGATGCAGGTATCTTAGAGAGTTAATGTTTTCATCTTCTTTGAATATATTCCCAGAAGTGGAATTGCTAGATCATATGGTACTTCTATTTGTAATTTTTTGAGGAAACTCCATACTGTTTTCCATAGTGGCTGCACCAACTTACATACCCAAACAGCGCACTAGGGTTCTCTTTTCTCCATAGCCAAGGTAGCATTTGTTGTCTCTTGTCTTTTGGATGACACTCATTCTAACAGGCTTGAGATGATATCTCATTTTGGTTTTAATTTGAATTTTAACTTCTTTTGAATGTTCACTGTAGTCATGGTGCCAACAGAGACGGTTTAAGGTAATTCCCTAAACAGACTCCAAAACTATTTTATAACCACTCCATAGGAAAAAAAGAAAGAAAGAAAAGGAAATGACAGGAAATGATTCAAACCTTTCAGAGTCCGGAAGAGGATGGGATCCGAGAGAGGCCCCACTCCTTTGGCATTTCGTGCTTGAATTCGAAAGTAATACATAGTGTCCAGGTTGAGATCCATGATTTGATGGGTAAGCCGGTCACCACTGATTGTTTCCATAATCCAGTCATCAATTGGAATGTTCTTGTCCAAGGTATAAAACAAGATGTAAGCTGCAAAAATAAATGAACACAACTTTGTTAAGTGTACTGACTACATGCGCTACTTGTTTCCAAACATCCATGTTTCCCAAATACAATTTTCAAGGATTATTATACATCCACAATCTATAAACTGCAGTATCCAGTTTGGCAAGTAATGATTTTTTGGGGAGGGGGTATTGCAAAGATTAGAAAAAGAACTACTTAACTGTACAGAATCTAAAAAATGGAATAAACTGTTAAAACTATCTGCCATATTTAAAAATGTGAGGTTTCTGCTGTCTATAAATCCTGATTATTGGTTTGCTCTAATACACAACCATGAGGAAAAACTTAAAAGATAGATAACAAGTCTGTCATTTTTACTGTATCCAATAAAGAAAATAAGTAATGTTTATTTTGGCTACTGTTTAAATAATAAAAATACATAGAAAGTATAAAATGCCCAATATTTTAAAGTGTCATAAGAATAAATGATCATATTTGATTACTGTAATAACTCTATGAGGTTGGCAGGGATACTGTTGCTCTCTTTTCATAGACGATAAAGCTGAGCAGAACCCAAGTTAACTGATAAAAGGGCTAGGATAAATCCTCTATTACCATACTAAAAACCCAACACTCTTTCCCCTAGCCCATTCCACCTAAGCAAAAATAAACAAACAGAAAGAAGTGTTTTTGGATTATTGTAGGTTACCTAGTTAATATTTCAAACATTAATAAATTCCTCATTTGACAGTACCATTCATTCTCTGTGTTAGGGGATATATTATTTGAATAACAGTAGTGTTCTCAGTCAGAGAAGGCAAAGGCACCCCACTCCAGTTCTCTTGCCTGGAAAATCCCATGGACGGAGGAGCCTGGTGGGCAGCAGTCACTAAGAGTCGGACACGACTGAGCGACTTCACTTTCACTTTTCACTTTCATGCACTGGAGAAGGAAACGGCAACCCACTCCAGTGTTCTTGCCTGGAGAATCCCAGGGACAGGGGAGCCTGGTGGGCTGCCGTCTATGGGGTCGCACAGAGTCGGACACGACTGAAGTGACTTAGCAGCAGCATCAGCAGTGTTCTCAATGGTGATAATCTAATATGCACCCAAGCAGATCCAGTTATCCCTGTAAACTATTTATACTCTAACGTTTTATCTGGCTAATATTTAAGCTAGCTTTTATTTTAAAGCACTAATTCATCACTTCATATTACAATATATATCAGATAAGAGTGCAACATAAACTACAGAACATCTCATCACAGGTGCCTTTGCTAACATGAATCTGGTCAGCCCCTATTTCTGTTAAAATTCTGCAATGGTATCTGCATTAGATAGGCCATCCACTTTTTCTCTAGGTCTGAGCTTATGGAATGAATACCATTGCTTCATAAGTAACACTTTTAAAACCAGCTGTCTCCATAGCACAGGGAGCTCAGCTTGGTGCTCCGTGACGACCTGGAGAGGTGGGAGGGGGGAGGTTGGAGGGAGGCCCAAGAGGAGAGGATGTATGTACGCATATAACGGATCCATTCTGTTGTACATCAGAAACTAGGATCCATTGTGTCGTGCATCAGAAACTAGGATCCATTCTGTTGTGCATCAGAAACTAGGATCCATTCTGTTGTGCATCAGAAACTAGGATCCATTCTGTTGTGCATCAGAAACTAGAATCCATTCTGTTGTGCATCAGAAACTAGAATCCATTCTGTTGTGCATCAGAAACTAGAATCCATTCTGTTGTACATCAGAAACTCACACAACAGTGTAAAGCAGTTACACTATGATAAGAAAGAAAGCTCTTGAAAAAAATAAAAGCAGTTGTCCTTCTTTGATTCCCCTAGTCCTTCCTTTTGAATTCCACCAGTCCCATTTTGACCAGGGACCTTCATACCTAATTCTTTGAGAGGTCATGTCAGAAGGTTCTCTCAGATTCACTTCCCTGCCAAAGCAAGCACGCACAGTACTGATGTCTCAGCACAACCCAGGAAGACTGATTTCCATGCTGTGCTCATTCCTACTTCCCTCTTACCCTCTTATTCTTCACACCACTTCACCTTTGCTTTCCTTCCCCATCCAATTTCTACCCATCCATCAAGGTCCAGTTTAAGCTACATCTAACATATGAAACCTTCCTCTATAGGGAGCTCTCCTTTCTGTAAACTCTGTAATCCATTCCAATACATAGAAGAATACTCATATGATTGTGTATCATTTTCACTTAATCCTATAGTGATTTACAGAATTATATCTCGGTTTAGGGGATGTGTTCTAGACAGTGAACTGGATACTTCCTCCTTGTGATTCTTTAAGATTAAGCAATGCCACAAACCACCTCTTCTGGAAGTCCATTTCTCTTAAAATCTTGTCAATGCTGAAAGCTTGCAACTGTTTTACCTTGGCTTTCACTTTTTCTGACTTTGTTGCTTCTCAAATCTGCCTCATCATGAGAATTACCTGGGGACTGGGTACAAGTTACAAACCCACAGAGCTCAAGAAAGGGTATTTTGGTTTTTTAAAAATTTTAATTTAAATTAAAACTAACAACGTTGTGGTAGTTTCCGCTGTGTGACAGTATGAATCAGTTATATGTAAGCATATATCCCCTCACTCCTGAGCCTCGCTCCCACTCCTCCAGGCCATCACAGAACGCCGAGCTGAGCTCCCTGTGTTACATACACACCAGGTTCCCACCAGCTGTTTACACATGGTCGCATATGTATGTCAATGCTACTTTCATAATTTGTCCCACTGTCCCTCTCCCTGGCTGAGGGCATTTTGATTCGAGAGGTGGCAGAAGAGTCTTGGATAACCCCCAATTATGCCCACCTCCTGGTAGTTATACCTTTGTGCAGCACTTTCTGAGCTTAGACAGGACCTAAGTCTTGCTTTTAACCGACAGAATAAAGCAAATGTGACGACTGTTGCTTCCCTGATGATGTCACATGAGCTGTAACTTCTGTCTTGCTAGCAGACTCCCTTGTTGGCTTTGATGACGTAAGTTGCCAGATGGAGAAGACCACGTGCCAAGGAACTAAAGCTGGGCTTGATCAACAGCCAGTGAGGAACTCCGTCCTGCCAACAACTGCGTGAGCTTAGATGCCAGGGTTTCCCCAGGTAAGCCTCAACTGAGACATCAGCTGAAGCCAACACCTTGATACCACTTTGTAAGAGACCTTAAAGCAGATTACCCAGCTAAATTGTGATTGGATTCCTGATGGACAGAAACAGTGAGATCACAAGTGTGTGTGTTCCTTTAAGCTGCTAAATTTGTGGTGATGTTGTTATACTGTAGTGATGAGTATAATCGATTTCTGGTAACCCCAGGAATCTGCACCCCAGGTGATTTCTGTCTTCCAGTATTTAGTCAGGAATCACTGCTTTAGTTGATCATGTTAATCCAGTAATTTTTGTAATATCTTTGTTGAGATGTTGATGCTACAAATATAAATGTCTAGGATGTGGAAAGCTCAGGGGAAGATAAAGCATTTACCAAAAAAAAAAAGTCTGCATAATTTATAAAGGTTATATGACTCTTCCCTCTGGATGGTATTAAAATTGGAAGACTGCAATTCAAAAGGGATTGTAAAATACCATTGGATAAAGGAGTTGTTTCTGACTGATAGGTGTCTATTCATTGAGAACTCAGCCCCTGTGGTCAACATCAATAAAATCTGCTACTACTCTTTAACCCAGAGGAGTCTCCATTTTTGTACCCAAAGAAACCACATCTATTGAAAAGAAGAGCTTGGCACTAGTAATACTTTTCTAGCTTTTATTATGTGCATATCTTATCTCTTCAAAAGAATAAAAACATTCCTTTAGTTCAGGAGCCATGTCTTTTATTACTTCTTATTCTTCGAAAAAAACTAATAAAATAGTCTCTGGATAATAGGTATTGAAACTCACTTATTGAATAAAACCTCTTAGCCTGTAAGTATTTAAGTTTTAAATTCATGACATTTAATGAAATTGTTCAAGTTTTCATGGGCTCTTGTAAGTGCATGACGAACTTGAAAGTTTGGATAACTGTGCTCCCATCCCATGTCGGCTACAATTATTCCTGATTTTCTCCATTTACCAAATGAGAATATAAGATTTGCCTTCATCATAAGTTTTTCTATGTGAAGAGTATTTACTGAAGCATTTTAAAATGACAGTTCCGGGACTTCTCTGGACCTCCCAGTCCAGTGGTTAGGGCATCACGCTCCCACTGCAGGGGGTGTGGGTTAGGTCCCTAGTTGGGGAACTAAGATCCCACATACCACATGGTGTGGCCAAAATAATAATAATAATAAATAAAATGTTTTTTAAAATGACAGTCCTGACATCACATAAGTAAAGTTAAAAGTGCCACATCAGGTTCTGACCCCAATTTGTATTTAAGCAATTTTCTTAAATTTATTTAAAAAAAAAAAACAACAGTCATTGGTTGTAAATTTGAATACTGAGATGGAGAACAGGAACAGATTACGTTACTCAGAACTCTAAAATCTAGCCTTAGAGAAATCATACAACTTCATTTGGCGAATGAATTTAATATGTTTTGAGGCTATAAGTACACTACTGAAGTCTCACCTTAGAGATTTTCATATAATCATACAAGTTGGGATACATGGATAGGTTTGTCGCTACCTTTCTCTATCTGTATGTTCATTCTTCTGTGTCCAATTCTCTGTCATTCTCCATTCTTTCATTTTATATTTTTTCCACTTCATTTTTATCTCTTATCCACCATACTGACTGACAGAGTATTATATTCTACCATAGGTGGCAAAACCTTTTGGGTTTATTAATTTACCTGGGCATTCTCTCATGGAAACACTGTTTGTCTAAATACACATAAAACATAGCATCATACATCTTTCATTTTGACTCTACTTATACAAATAGCTAGGTTTCCCAGACAGCACAGGTGGTTAAAAAACAAAAAATAAAACAACCGCCTGCCAATGCAGGAGACATAGACATGGGTTCGATCCCTGCATCAGGAAGATTCCCTGGAGGAGGGCATGGCAACCCATTCCAGTATTCTTGCCTAGAAAATCCCTCGGACAGAGGGGCCTGGTGGGCTACAGTGCTTAGGGCGCAAAGAGCTGGGCGCGACTGAAGCAACTTAGCACACATGCATGCATACGAATAGGTAGTTGTCATTCCAGAAGCAAAGTGTCAGAAAGTATTCACCTCCACCTCTCATCTCTCTTCTGTCCTTTTCCATACTTCCACTCAGGGCTGATTCCTTTCCATGGATCAGGGAGGCTGATAAGAACGGGAAAGACCATATAGAACTGGCCCCTACCAGCAAGGAGCTCAGCCCAAAGTGGGCTTCTCATCTTTAAAGAACTGATTCTAATAAATATATGTACATAGAGGTAGATATATTAAAAATGAGGACCAACTGCCTACTTTGTTGTGGTAAAAAATTATGGGTTATGGATTCAGGGAGGCCTGACCTCAAGTAACACTGCTAATGTTAACTAGCTTTGTTGCAACCTTGAGCAACTTGCTTTACTCAAGTTATGTCTTAATTAATTATCAGAAAACAAGTTGCTCTGAGACAATGTGCTTTAAAAACTTAAGATATATGGGTATTTCTATTAAATTACCTTTACAAAGTAACTATTTAGTAAATGCTAACCTTTTATTTATTTATATTAAGAAGGCTTAAGAAATACATTGTTTGGAAGCTGGCACTACAGAGTCAAGTCAAACAATATATTGAATATCAATTTGATGATTGTTCCACTCAACAGATGTTTATTAATTTACCTATTGAATGTCAAAGATATTGTTACTGGGGAGAAAGAATTGAACCCTGTTCAATTCTGAACCCTGTTCTCCTAGAGCTTTCAGCCTTGTACTATAAGCATTTAGATTTTCTTGCATGATAATATGGAAAGGAGATGGACAGAAAGAAGTCAAGATGAGACTAAGTTGCCAGCTTCTGCAGCTGGGTGAATGGTGGAAGCTTCTGAAAAGATGCAAGTAAGAATATTAGACATATGTGATTCCAGAAAAGATGCAAGTAAGAATATTAGACATATGTGATTCCAGTGTCCAGCTTGGTTCACAATCTCAACGAGCTAACAATCTATTCCAGAATATAATAGTGCATCACTTGGCTGTTTGTGGTGGGTGTTTAGACTGAAAAAAGAAAAATGGTAGAAAGAGGGGTTGGGGAGTAAAATGAGTTTCCAGTATGACAGAGAAGTGCAAATGTACAGTATGAGGTGGAATGTGTGTATTTAGAACTCCTTGGATGGAGATACAGATTTCAGAGGCATTAAGTGCATGTTCATTGAAGTCCTGGCTATAGCATGGATAACTTTTTTCAGAGAAAGTAACAAAAGGAATGAAAAGATGGAAATAACACTTCTGGAACAGGCCTGGAAGTGGGAAGAAAAGTGGTTAGACGGTTTTACAAAACTCAAGTGAGAAGAGAATTTCAAGGAAGGAATGGGACTAGACTATCAAATTACACAGAAAAAGAGGGCATAACCTTAGTCATGAGATGGTATTGATAAGGAAACAACCGCTGAAGCTCTCTTCTATCTATATTGGTGTTTGAGCTTAATGTTGGATGCTGCATTTATTTAGATCAATGTTTCACAAATCTAATTATATATTAAAATCACTCAGAGAGTTTTTAAAAAGTCCCATGCTCAATCCCTCCTCAGATAAATTAAGTCATAAATCAGTTGACTGTCACTGATACGGGCCAGTACTAGTAAGAAGAACAAAGCCTAGTGTAATAGCTAAGAGTAGGAACGTGAGTTTTGTATCCGAGATCTGCTATTTCTTGGTTATTTGCTGCTGCTAAGTCGCTTCAGTCGTGTCTGACTCTGTGCGACCCCACAGACGGCAGCCCACCAGGCACCCCCATCCCTGGGATTCTCCAGGCAAGAACACTAGAGTGGGTTGCCATTTCCCTCTCCACATTTGACTTCACGATAATTATTTACCCCAGAAGGCCCTTGACTCTTTATTTCAAAACAGAAGAATAGGGAACATATGACTACTTATAATACGAAAGTGCTGAGGAGAATAAGCTTATACTAAATGTTTAATTCATTTTGAACCATTTTCTTCTGAAAATATCAGTCTAAATTCCCAAGCTGCCGACTTATGATCAAGGAACTTAGGCACTGGAATAATCTGGATCTCCCCCTTTTTCAACATTTTTTGTTTCATCTTTTTGAAATATAAATCTATGTATACATATATACACATATCTATATGGCTCAGCGGTAAAGAATCTGCCTGCAATGCAGGAGACACAGGAGTCATGGGTTTGATCCCTGGGTCAGGGAGATCCCCTGGAGGAGGAAATGACAACCCACTCCACTATCCTTGCTGAAAAACCCGATGGATAGAGGAGCCTGTCAGGCGACCATCCATGGGTCACTGAGTCAGACGCAGCTGAGCACATGCGTGTGCACACCCACACACACGTTTATCATTGTCTATACTTACAAATCGATGGTCTGGGATCTGAACAGAGTACATTAATGAACCCCTGTTCCAGAATGAATTTCAACTGGGAATAATAGTCACTAAATGATTTCAGTGCTCACAGGGTATCAGGGACTGTTCTCAGTCCTTTATTGTAACAATTCTACAAAGTGAAGTGAAGTCGCTCAGTCGTGTCTGACTCTTTGCGACCCCATGGACTGTAGCCTACCAGGTTCCTCCGTCCATGGGATTTTCCAGGCAAGAATACTGGAGTGGGTTGCCATTTCCTTCTCCAGGAGATCTTCCCAACCCAGGGATTGAACCTGGGTCTCCCGCATTGTAGGCAGACGCTTTACCCTCTGAGCCACCAGGGAAGTCAACAGTTCTACAAAAGGGGTCCTAAAGTGAGACTCGGGGAGATGAAATAACTTGCTCAGGCCTCTCCATCAGAAGGCTGGGTTCTTAACCATCCTCTTCTGCTGTGGGCATAGAGGGATTTGGGAAAACAAAGAAATGTGGAAGCAGGATAGGAGTATATTTCTCCACACAGGTAAACATGTGCCCCGACATGCTGGAAGAGAACTCACATCTTCCTTCGGACTTTCCCAAGAAACTGAGTGAAGAAAATCCAGGCCCTCAGTCTAAAGAGCTCGTGCTCTAAATATTTTATCATACTATTTTTTGGAATTGAGTTGAAAGTATCAAAACATGCATGGAACGGAAGTTGTTTTAAGTGTTGTTTAAAGTTGTTTGAAGGGTTCTTAATGTTTGTTCCCTGTTGAACTGAGTCAAAATAGCTTAGACTGATAATTATAAACTGACTTTAATGAATGAACTATTCTTTAAAGGGGAAAATTAGTTCTTTTCACACTTAAACTATGCAATTGTTAAAGAACATATTTTTAGTAATGAGAATTACTGAACATAACAATTCTAAATAAAATATGTGGACACAGTTTCTTATACATGCACTGTGACATTAGAACATAAACTGTTATCGCTCAGATTAATTTACATTTCTTAATATGGGGCTGACTTCCTTTTTTTGTTCCAATTGAAAAGAAAAATTAAGCTTTTTTTTTCAGAGTTGAAAACACATTCTATTTTTCACATAGACCATTGGTGAGATTTATTTAAATAGAGTGAAGAACTGGGTAATATATGACTTATTTTATCCTTTACCCCAAAGTATATTTTTTTCTATTAGAACTTACTTTTATTCAGGCAATTCCTATTCTGGATTTTTTTCTTCTTAAACTTATTATCTGTTGATTTACCATATGCTTGTAAACAACTGTTAATAACATAATGGAAGTCATCATGTAAACAAATCAGAATCTCCAAAAGTACTGAAATAGAACCAATGTAAAGCGGTCATAACACTGAGTGGAGAGAAACAAAAAATTAGAATGAGCCAGCCTCAGTTTTGGAAGGTCTGGCAGAGTAACAACTGAGTATATCAGATTCTGGGGAGATTTTATGTCCCTCTTTTTTTTTCCCCATATTTATCAGCTCAAATTGAAATTCTGTCCGCTATTGTAGGAAGAGCAATTTCTTGGAGAAAACAAGTCTTTGACTTAAATTTAAAACACATTTGGAATTTTCACATTACCTTTTCATTTTCTAAAATTCAAAAAGTAACTCACATCAAATAAGTGTGCCATCCAAACTGCAATTCCCATGCTTATGTCTGTACCAGAGAATGACTGAATTGCTTTGTTAATTTACACTGGTGCTATCCACTTTTGGTATGCAACAATGAAGAAACAAGAGTGACTCTTACACATGCCTAACCCAATGGTTCAAGTTAATTAGACTATAATGTGCACATTTTTAGTTATACAATATTTTTCATAATAATTATATGCTATGGAGACATCTATTAAAAGCTAAAGTGATCATTTAAATGCAAAATCTCTGATAGAACTCCATTATATTTTTCATACTAAATTAACATTACAGGCTTCTAATGGATGCTTTAATTAGGCATTGATGTTATCCGTAATATTTGGCAAAATAAAATCTGTCACTGTGAAATATTCATTAAGTTCAATTTCCATCTGTCAATATCAAGTGTTTTCTGAACCTTATGATTTAAGTAAGAAGCTAAGAGCTAAGTGAGAAGCTAAAAAGCCTTAGACAAGCCTCCTCCTATGTTTCCTAGGAAAATACATGGTCATTAAGTATCTTTTGTATTTTATAACTGCCCAACAACTGGCTTCTTTTTAGTCATTTAGGCTCAAAGGCATTCCATTAGGAGGTTATCCTAATGCCACACAGAAGGTCTGCACTAATTGGAATACACAGCTCTCAGGACGCAACACACAGGAAATGTGCTGGGGTCTGTATTTGCAGGCTCCATTAGAAGAATTCCAAGGTCAGCAGGGGTAAGAGGAGACAAATCAGAGAGGGTCAGGAGCCAACTGAGATGCTGGGACAGAAACCTAATACATAAAAGGTTTGAGCGGCATGCGGGGAGGTGAGCCATGGCAGGCCACGCAAAGCAACCCAGGAAATAAAGCCGAGATGCCTACCAGTAATTTTCCCATTGGCTTCCAAGGGAGGCTGCCAGCTCACGATGACAGTGCGAGGCTTCCCTTCTCGAGTAATGACTGTCAAATCCTTAGGAGCAGAGGTCGGGGCTGTGGGATGAAACACAAACATGGTCTTGTCATTGGATGTGAAAGAAAACAGACATTTATGGGACTTCTAATCATGATGCTGACACACAGAATCTATCATGCCATATATCATGCTTATTTTACCATGGATGATTTAAGTATCTGAATTAAGCAAAGACACAGAAATTAATATTTTCCAGGAAGTTAACTGCCTTTCAAAGGTGAGAATATAGAGAGGAGAATGGAATATGTATGACTATAGAGAAAAGCATAATTGGCATTTTCAAGTGAGCGATTCACTAAAATTCAGGAACCATTATAAAAGTTAGCAAGATCAATGTCTACCTGTCTCCGAGAAACAAAAATTCTGTTACAATTGCACGGTTTGTGAGTGAAAGTTCACCCAATGCTATTTTTCCTTAAAAAATGAATTTAAATGCAGGTCACAACATCTTGTTTAGGTAACATCTAGTTATCTCCCAACAAGAAGGAAAAGAAATATTTGAAAATAGAGGAGACAAGGAATCTATGAGGGTCTCACTATCAACCTGCGTGTGTCTGCTCAGTCACTTAATCGTGTCTGCCTCTTGGCGACCCCGTGGACTACAGCCCACCAGGCTCCTTTGTCCATGGGCTTTCCCAGGCAAGAATACTGGAGTGGGTTGCCGTTCCCGTCTCCAGATCTTCCTTTCCCGGGGATCGAACCTGCCTCTCTTGTATCTCCTGTCTTGGCAGGCAGATCAACCTGGTAGGAAGTAAAGACATCAAGAAACCCTGTCTTGCTTAGAGCTACTCTTCCGAATGCTGTTTGAGGGGAGCAGAATTCATCACCCCCAAATATTTTGCCTCTTTAGCATAAGAATTATCTTAAGTTGATTATTTTTTTTTAAAAGGCAGAGGAAAAGTTTTGAAATCCAAGTAGAAGTTACCCTTTCATAAAAGATAAATTTATATTTATAAGGTATCCCCCTTTATGTGCCATTGGCTTCCCCAGTGCTCAGATGATAAAGAATGTCTTCAGTGTGAGAGACCCAGGTTCAATCCCTGGGTCAGGAAGATCCCCTGGAGAAGGAAATGGCAACCCACTCCAGTATTCTTGCCTGGGGAAACCCATGGACAGAGGAGCCTGGGGGGCTACAGTCCATGGGGTCGCAAAGAGTTGAACCCGAGTGACTAACATTTCATTTCCCTCTTTGTACCAGGATGACAAGGAGACAGAGCCTTAAATGTACATGAGGACCATGCCCTTGTTTATTGTGATGTGTTTGAAAACTTCCCGTTACTGGCTCCCTAACCCCCAGCATCTCTGTCTTTAGCTGGAGACAGTATTGAAGATGGTGGCCATTTGAGGGGATTACTGTTTTCTTGGGTATCTTCCCAAGAAATCTATACTATTATCTATACAAATAATCTATACAAATCTATACTTATTATCAGACAACTGTTTGTTTTCCTCCTGTTCATCTATCTCTTATTACAGGGACTCTCAGCCAAAAGCCTGGAAGGATACAAAGATTTTTCTTCTCCTGTATGGTGCTCATCAAAAGTTTAAATACACCTCAAAGGCAACAGCAAACTGGCCAATCTCATCCAGTATCTTTCAGACTTTCTTTGACCTGATTTCTCACTGGCTATGCTTTTAAATGCAGTTCCTTTTCCTTCCAGTAACTCACAGTGCCCCGGTCTATGGTCCATAGTCTTTTTCAGTTACCCTAGATGTGACGTAGGCAGTTTAGGAACATATCTAACTTCCACACTGGGGTTCAGAACAATTTCCTGATCTCTGCACAGGAGTGCTTGTGTATTACAATCACCTACTGTGTATTACAAATCGGTCCTAATTCTGAATGCCTCTCCACACTTGCAATTCTCTTCAACTTTTCTATTGACTGTATAGCACAGAATCTGAGCATTACTGACTCTATTTCCAGCTTCTCTTACTAAAAGGATTCCAGACAGAGGGACCCCAAGCATTCCCATCTATTCTACCATTTTATTTCCAATACCCTGATTCTAAAAGCCACTAAGATTCTAAATTAACCAGAGCTGTACTAACTGTAATATCCTGACAAAGCACTTACTGTACTTCAAGTTTTTCTGGAAAAGAAAGAGGAGAAGAAAGAAGGACAAGGAAGAGAAGATCTCTGAGTAAAAGTGAAGTGAAAGTCGCTCAGTCGTGTACAACTCTTTGCGACCCCATGGACTATGCACTCCATGGAATTCTCCAGGCCCGAATACTGGAGTGGGTAGCCTTTCCCTTCTCCAGAGGATCTTCCTGACCCAGGAATCAAAACAGGGTCTTCTGCATTGCAGGTGGATTCTTTACCAGTTGAGCCACAGGGGAAACCCATATTAAACATAGTTTCATATATATCTTTTAATGGAAAGAGAGAGAAAGAACATTCTTGCAAAAAGAAAAAAAGATTTGTAATAGTGAAACACTGAATAGGCAATGCTACCTTAGGGAAGGCTTAGTCATGTAAAGAGATCATTTGAGATATTTTCTGAGCCACAAATAGAAAGGTAATTTGTTGTTTACTTGATCAGTGTGTCCAAATGTTTCACAACTGCATGGTCTATAGTCCACCAGGCTCCTCTGTCCATGGGATTTCCCAGGCAAGAATATTGGAGTCAGTTGCCATTTCCTTCTCCAGGAGGGTCTTCCTGACCCAGGGATCAAACTCATGTCTCCTGCATTGGCAGGCAGATCCTTTATTGCTGAGCCACTGGGAGAGCCCAGGAAGGTAATAGATAACCAAAAGTTAGAGTATTATACCAAACATGACCAAAGTATTGGACCTTCAGCTTCAGCATCAGTCCTTCCAATGAACACTCAGGATTGATCTCCTTTAGGATTTGGACTGGTTGGATCTCTTGGCAGTCCAAGGGACTCTCAAGAGTCTTCTCCAACACCACAGTTCAAAAGCATCAGTTCTTCAGTACTCAGCTTTCTTTATGGTCCAACTCTCTAATTCATACATGACTAAAGGAAAAGCTGTAGCTTTGACTAGATGGACCTTTGTCAGCAAAGTAATGTCTCTGCTTTTTAATGTGCTGTCTAGGTTTGTCATAGCTTTTCTTCCAAGGAGCAAGTGTCTTTTAATTTCGTGGCTGCAGTCACCATAGGATGATGGGAAAGATTGAAGGCAGGAGGAGCAGGGGATGACAGAAGATGAGACGGTTGGATGGCATCACCAACTTGATGGACATGAGTTCAAGCAAGCTCTAGGAGTTGGTGATGGACTGGCAAGCTGCAGTCCATGGGGTCGCAAAGAGTTGGACATGATTGAGCAACTGAACTGAACTGAAACCAAATATCATAAGACATTTTCCAATTTTGGAGTTAATTAAAACACTTGTTTTTCTAACTGTGTTTTTTCTTAACTGTGTTAAAATTGATGCTTATTTAGAAAACAAATGGTGATGATTAGATTGCTTCACTGAGTCTAGGTTGATATTCAAAAAATATAAAGTGATTCTAGCTTAAACTAGCAAAATAATACACTGAAGAGGTTATTAAAAAAAAAAAAAACCTAATGACTAATCTATTTCAGGTGCTGAGAAAAGTTTTCTTTTTCCTCAAGCCACGTGACTACTGGTAAATAGAGATTCTGGTATTAGAATCAATGCCTTAGATGTTTAGGATTATCATACAAACTGCACATTGTTCCCTCATACTTATTTAAAGCATAAATAAAATAAATTTATTTTATAAATTGTATTCTTTTTCATTTATTTTTATTAGTTAGAGATACGTGTATTTAACTTTATTTGGCTGCACTGGGTTTTAGTTGCGGCTGGTAGGATCTTCACTGCATCACGTGGGATCTTTCATTGTGCTACAGGAACTCTCTGCAGGGAGTGGGGGTGTCAGGCTCAGTAGTTGGGGCACATGGGCTTAGTTGCTCCTGGCATGTAGGATCTTAGTTCCTGACCAGTAATGGAACAGCCACTCCCTGCATTGTAAGGCGGATTCTTAACCCTTTAAAAAATAAGGAGTAGTAATTTCTTCATTCATTCTTCCCCATCATAAACATAAACACACACCAACATCTTGGGCATTTGTGTTCGGACTGCTCAGATGCTACCCTCTCCTCCTTCATTTAGAGAAACACGTGGCTTTTTCCTTTGGGGGACAGGGTCTCCTCTCTGTCACGTGAGCTAGGAGCAACATCAAATAGGAGTTTACTGGCCTCCATCTCACTCTCTGTAGCTGTGTGATTCTCTCTTCTGGGAAACTGAATGTTGATAGAAGAAAGGAGAACACACGGAGTCAAACTAATGTAATTGTAACACCTTGCAGGGAGAGTTCAATAGTTCCTCATCTCTAACGCCTGGGGATGCTGCTGCTGCTGTCCCTTGCCAAGACTTCATTATTTAAGCTATCCTTCCAATTATTTTTATTTTACCTAAATTAACTAGAGTAAAATTAAGGATTTTTCACCTGGACAGAATGTATGTTTCATTTCAAGAATTTGTCAGCTGCCATTATCCTTATTATGAGCAATTTCAGCACAAGTACATAATATGTGGCCCCGTAGAGTCTTTGCATTATTACAGAATTAGAAGCAAACTTCAGAGCTATTTCATTCACTTCATTTTCTTCTCACAGTTATAAAATGTGCGGACACGTGCGAATTACTTCTTGCTTCTCATCATCACCCACGAATCTTATCCATAGGCTATTTACACCTTTGTCCAGATCATTATCTGTTTTGACAATCACCCTTTCTACCAGTCACATTTCTAAAAGTTAATATCTTTCTCTCAGCTATGGGTCTCAACACTGACGTCCTTACAAGGCTAGGCAGTTCAGGAGAAATCAGTCGGGTTCATTTATCAAGTCAGGTGGTGGTGTGCGTTTATGTTTATGATGGGGAAAAATGAATAAGGAAATTACTACTCCTTTTCTTTCACTCAGGGAGGACCAAATACCTTACTGGTTTATATTTAACTCCTTTCATCTCCTTTTAGGTTAAAAGAAAGAGAATGACTTTTATTCATCCCATAATGTATAACTCTCCCTGAGAAGCTAAGAACACGGGCATCCTGGGCAGATTTCTAGGAGAATGATTTTGTATATGTAAACACATAAAATAGAAGAAGAAGGTGTTGAAATTGAACAACTAGGAAAAACTTCTTACAGAAAGCAGTGCCCCCAGAATTTTAAAAATATTCCCAGTGAACTCAGAATTAGGGTAGTAATCTGAAATTAAAATTAGAGCTGCCATGCTATGGGACAAATTCAAAAGGAAAAAGAAATTCAACTTACTCAGATAAAAGTTTTACTGCCATATGCTTTAAAATTTGGAAATGTGTGGTACAGTTTATCCCCAAATATGATGTAATAATACCAGGAAAGCAATTAAAAAGTATGTTAAACCCTGTTTCCTTCAGATGTTGGATCTCTGTGAACTATAATTGCCAAGTGCACTGCATGTCTGCTAAGGTTATAAACTCAACGTTTATGACCCACAGTAAATGTGACTGGAGAAATTTACAGTGAACTGCATTCACTCTTGATTTGAACTATTGCAGGATGCATGGAAGTTTTCCATTGTGTTGCCTTATTTCCAAACAGTGAACATGACTCCCTAGAAATTTCTTCCCAGTCAACTGTGTGTGTGTGTGTGTGTGCGTGTTTGTGTGTTAGTTGCTCAGTCATGTCGGTTTTTTGCAACCCCACAGACTGTAGCCCGCCAGGCTCCTCTGTCCATGGAATTCTAAAGGCCAGAATACTGGAGTGTGTAGCTATTCCCTTCTCCAGGGGATCTTCCTGACCCAGGGATCTCCTGCATCACAGGCAGATTCTTTTACTGTCTGAGCCGCCAGGGAAGCCCATAAGGTAAGCATCCACAAGCCTACAGCTGTAATGCAATTTTTCATTTTGCATCTAATTTCTTTCCAAAAAAGTAAACATCTACAATGTCTGCTGATCAAGGACACACATGCATTGGACAGAGAGAAAAATACCTTTACTTCAGTGTATCGAACAGCAGATTTATATTCAGAAACCCTCAATTAGTGTACAAATTAAAACCAGATTACTTATTCCACTGGGAACTCATTTTCTTCTTATCTAGAGTAGGAAGAATAGTATTTGATATAAAAGTACCATGAATGACTTTATACATGATTAACTGTAATTTAGACATCATAGTGCACACACGTTCCAGATTCCTCGGAACCTAGAAAATCCCAGCGGCCAACGTCCAGTAGAGAAGTCTCTTCACACACCTGCCTCATGCGTGGTGGCATGCGCAGTCATGCTCCAAGTGCTGGACCTCCTGTTTTTCGTGACCATGACGGAGAACTCATACATCGTGTTTGGTTTGAGGCCCGTCGCGGTGTAACTCAGAGACGTTGTGTCTTCTGACTACACAAGTGGGAAAGAAGGAGAGAGAGACAAAAATGAACTCTGTCAACTTGGAAAATCAAGACACAAAGGAAGACTATCCAAAGCAACAAAAAAGGAATTTATTCCCAAACAGCAGAAGACCCAGGACAAAGCACTGACTTTATTTCCTTTCTGTCCCAGTTTACACTGGCTGATTGTACATCTAAAACATAATCGATAAAATCAGGTGTTATGTTGTTCAAAGGGGCAGATAGCTGATAAATTTTCCCAAGTGAGGCAATAACCACAGAGACAGGACCAATTCCACTTTCTTCTGTCAGTTCCATTTGTAAGGTTATCTGCACTGACTGGAACTTCAATTTATTTCTAATAATTGAGAACTTTTTTCAGAGGCTTTAATGTTTTATATATTTCACATAAATTATTATGATTATTTTCCATAGGTAATAAAATGAATTTTTACATAGCTAATGCTTATGATTTTTTAAAAAAGTCTTTATGATACAGACTTTTACTGATGCCAGGATCTATAATAGCTATTATAAAGAAAATGGACAACAGTAATATTGTGCCGAGTGTTTTTCTTTCTTTATGAACAGATCACATTAAACACAGACTGAAGTATGGTCATTGGAGCAGTTAATCAGGAAGAGAACAATAAATCAGATAAATATTAAATGATTACATTAGTGTTAATATTCTTCATCTTCTGAATACATTATTTGCCTTTTAAACAACAGGTTAAGTATATTTTAGTAGAAAGTAAATTCTTTCTCTGTATTGCTTACTCAATAGATCAAAATTATAACAAAGAAACAGGTTAATCTCCCAGGTTAATGTGTATTTTCCATATGATAAGGCAAATTTAAAACTACTTATGCCTCTTATAAATTTCAATTTATGATCGCTATTTGGTCCTTGATCTTTCAAGGTTATACATTTACTTTTAGGTTTATTACATTTGTTGTATTTCTATGTCTAGAAAAATCAAGGAAAACATTTTGTCTCCACCTATGTCGTAACTATCTCCTCCCTAGCTGCCCCAGTACATCTTTCTTATTCTACTATGAATCCTTCTTATATTATAGCTATGAAAATCCTACATTTCATTATAAAACAAATAAATATTTAACTGTACTGATAACATTTCAACGATGTGCCCATCCATCCTATTAAAGTGATGACCTCATAAACATTTATCAGAAGCTCCTCTTAAAAAAAGTCATAAAAATGTGAGCCCTAAATAAATGCAAAAATACTTTATAGACTCAGAAAAATAGAACCCCATCAAAAAAAACATGAAATGGGCAGCTAGTATCTGATGCACTGATATATAACTTCCAATCTTGCCCTCCTTCCCTGTCATGATACCACTAAGTCTTCGAAGTAGAAAGATGGGGAGAAATGGGGCAATGAGATATAGTTTGGCTAGGAGGGAAGGACAGACTTTAATAAAACTTGCCTCTTTGAACACAGACACGGCTGGCATTTGGGAGACAACCAAACAATATTGTCCTTGCTTGTATTCCTAAACGATACACTTGCATCATTTAAGTACCATGAATTCATTGAATTTTCTCAGGAACTTTATGGAAGGTTACCACTCATCATAAATCAATAGCCTGGAAGTACTCTGGGAAGTCATGGCTGTGTGTGTGTGTGTGTGTGTGTGTGTGGTTTCCTCATTTATAACATAGAAATAACCATAGCACTGACCTTAATGGTACTAATTAAAGTGCAAAAGTAAAATATATTATCTGGCTCAGAGTAGGTACTAAATAAATGTTAGCCACAATATTTTATGCATTGTCTAGTGTGAAATATAGGCACTGTATATGTCATATATATACACATACCTACATATATATATGGGATTTTATGCACATGACAAATTGTTCATTGAGCTGTAAGTATTTTGAGGACTGATACTGAATCTTGCATGACTTTTTATCTCCTGTAATACCCATGCTGTAATCAATAGTCAGTGAATGCATTTTGAAAGGAATTTTATGTAAAATATCAAATGAGCAATCACTTTAGTAGAAAATAAGTTATATAAAAAATCCTCTATTTGATAAGGAAGGTCAATATAAAGTTTTGGGCAATCAAAATATGAATGTCTGGCCTGATGTGGGACTAAATGAAGTAGAAAGTATTCCTGTTGGGAGTGGTCTGGATAATGCCATCAGGTTATCTGAGTTCCCGGCTCTAGTTTGATGGGGAATTTCGTCAAGTTGCACAACCTACCCATAAAGATCTCTACACACATACATAGCTGTAAAGAATCTTACTTATTCTTTTTATAGTAGGTGTCAACACCCCAATCACATAGATGAGAAAAATGAGATTGAACAAATTAAGTAACAAGACAGGATGCAGCAAAGCCAGCTTGTAAGCCCTGCTCATTTCACTCTAAGTATGTATTTCCCCCTCTGTATACTGTGCATTCTCTGCCCAGCTTATAAAGCTATAGTGGAGAGGAAGTAATAGATGATAGTGCGTGTGAAAAGTTCAAAATGCAAAACCAAACCATTCTATTCCTATTCTTTATAAAATTTAAATTTATTGTATGTCCATTCTGTATTGACCAGATACGGTCTGTATTTATCCTGCTCTCCAACTGAGCTAACTCTCCCCCTCTAACCCTTCTTCCCAGGGTATGGGTGCAGAGTGTGTATGCATGAGAAAGGTGATGAAATATTAGTGCTTGAAAGCCTTATTAGGTCAAAGAAGGTGATGAGGAGAGAAACAGTGACAAGATTATTTTTATGCTCATACTTCAATCCATAAGTGAAATCAGTCTTGCCTTACAGAGGATGATTTTTGGTTGGATCTCTTTTGTGGTATTCTTAGTGAAGCTCAATAATTCTGTCTGTTCTATTAACAATTCAACTAAAAAAAAATACTGCTTCTGGAAATTTTGGAGCTCAAATCATTCTGCAGAGATCAGTGTCCCTTAGAACATTTCACACATTGGCAAGGTACCCATGGCCATTCTGTGAAATGGATGTATCCACACAGTACAGTAAAATTTTTAAAGTAGTCCTTTAAACTTAGAATTGGGTAATCTGTATATAAAGAGATTTTTAAAAAGTGTTCTCTTATGTTTCATTTATTGTCTTATCTGATAATGTTATCTTTATTTATGGTTCTGCTGTGTCTTAAATCTGATACTGTAAGAAGATGGATAGGACACTTATTTCGATGATACTATTTGGACTAGGCTGGAGAGTTCCTCCAAGTACCTGATCTCGCAGAGAGGCTGAGCCAAAGGAAACTGCTTTTCAATTGGTTTCAACTAAAACCTGATTTACTATGAAATGTGAATTTTATGCCCCTTAAAGATTGAATAAAACTAGAAGCAGAACTAGCATGACTACCGGAAAAAAAGAGGCAGACTTTATAAAATTATTGGTGGATTTTGCTTTAACTCCAGGGTCTTTAGAGTCAGAAATTTCCAAAGGACATTTTAATCCCACCCACAACAACACTGGCTTGAGGCTGGATTAAACACAATGGCAGTTCAGTGGAAAGAACATTGGATAAAGTATCAGGAGATCCAAATTCTCCTTGAAAGCTATCCCAGTAAAGTGGTGCGGAGGAGGGATACAGGGGAGTATAAAGATTCTGGAATGCCAGGGTCAAACTACTGCTCCCTCCATTGCTGGGTAATATTTGGGCTCCTTGTTCCTCTTCTAGTTTTATTGAGATATAAATCAACATAGAGCACTGTGTAAGCTTAAGATGTACAAGTTAATGATTTGACTTACATACATCATAAAGTGGTGACCACTAAACAGTAAGTTTAGTAAATACCCACTATCTCATATAGCTACCAAATTAAATAAATAGAAACAATATAGTTTGCTTGTGCTTAGAACTCTTAGGATTTATTGTAACAACTTTCATATACAACACCAATCGGTGTTAATTATATTTATAATGTTGTACATTACATCCCTAGTACTTATAACCGGAAGTTTGTTTCTTTTGACTGCCCTCCCCTCCCCGCTTATGCTCTTATTTTTAAAGCTACCTTCTTCATCCTAAATGGGCTTTGCTTGTGGCTGACATGGTAGAGTCTGCCTGCAAATGTAGGAGACCTGGGTTTGATCCCTGGGTTGGGAAGATTCCCTGGAGAAGGGAATGGCTACCCACTCCAATATTCTTTTCTGGNGTGTATATGTACCACAACTTCCTTATCCATTTGTCTGCTGATGGACATCTAGGTTGCTTCCTTGTCCTGGCTATTGTAAACAGTGCTGTGATGAACACGTCTCTTTCAAGTCTGGTTTCCTGGGTGTGTATGCCCAGCAGTGGGATTGCGAGGTCATATGGCAGTTCTATTTCCAGTTTTTTTGAGGAATCTCCACACTGTTCTCCAGAGTTGCTGCCCCAGTTTGCAGTTTGATGGACAGTGTAAGAGGATTCCCTTTTCTCCACACCCTCTCCAGCATTTACTGTTTGTAGATTTTTTGATGATAGCCATTCTGACCGGCATGAGATGATAACTTATTGTGGTTTTGATTTGCATTTCCTAATACTGAATGATGTTGAGCATCTTTTCATGTGTTTATTAGCCATCTGTATGTCTTCTTTGGAGAAACCCACTCCAGCATTGTTGCCTGCAGAATTCCATGGACAGAGGAACTTGGTGGGCTACAGTCCATGGGGTTGCAAAGAGTCGGACACAACTGAACAACTAACTCTTTTTCACCTTAAACAGTCATCTTGTGAATATTTTAAATATGTTTTCATATATTACTTCACTTGAATAAATTATGAATTCTGTAAAGTACTCCATGGAGCTGAGTGTATCACACATTTCAAAATTGTAAGTAACAACGTTAAGTATGTGAAAGTGAAAGTGTTAGTCACTCATTCATGTCCAACGATTTACAACCCCATGGACTGACTATAACCTGCCAGGCTCCTCTGTCCATGGAATTCTCCAGGCAAGAACACTGGAGTAACAACTAAAAGACATTAAACGGCCTCTATGACCTAGCACAGTCCTAAGTAAATGGTGGGCACTTAACAATTACTTGATCTCATTTTACTCTACATTTGTATATTGTTATATACACTATACTAATGTGGCAGGCTTAGGAGGTAATGTTAGAGTATAGAAATGAATATTTGTTGGAGTTGCTCTGGCTGACTGATAGAGATGTGAATGGATGACAATGTCTCAAATGTGTATCTCTAAGGCGCTCCTGGGTGTGGGTGTGTGTGTGTGTGTGTGCGCGCGCGCGCGCGCGTGTGTGTGTGTGTGTGTGTGTGATGACTCAATGAGAGGACAGGGATAAGGGAGCTGGTCTAATTCATATTAGTTAAAGGGAAGGGTGCACCATGCATTTTCTTTACCACATGAGGGCCTTTCAAGGCTAAATGAGGAAACAGATGTTAATGACTCGAGGTGTGTTCACCACCTAAGGATAGTATAAAAAAATCTTCATGTATTCTTTCTCATATTCACTATAAGATGGGTCTCTGTGTACAATGTTAATATGCGTGACTGTAGTATAAACCTAGATTCCAAATGAAAAGAAAAACACCAAAATCTATCCAGGAAAGTAACACAGAGCTCTGCTATTTTCCAAAGAAAATGACATTCCCTTGTACAGAATTACATTATTTATACAAACCCAACATCTGGTGGAATTCAAATAACATTTCGCAGCTCTTGATGCTTTCCTACCTCGTCTGAGAACTGTTTCCTAAGACACAATAACTCCCATGCCAGTTTTAGGTACTGAGTTTGAAAATGCTTTGTTTTCCATCTCGTATCATGGCAGTAACATAACTCATGGCAGTCCAGGAGGTGCTTAAAACAATGGATTAAACAAATGACAGTTCAAGTTAAACTTCATACTATCAGTTAGAGCGTCACCTTGTATTTTGCGTTCGCAGAAAAGCTGGTCCTCCACCGGACAGTGTAAAGTCGCACTTCGGACGTTTTTTGGTTCTTAGGGACAGAGTTGTCCGCCCAGCTGACCCTCACGGCATCGTGGGTGAGAGCCACAGCCTGCACACCTACTGGTGGGAGCATGGGAGTGGAGACATCTGGGACCGAGGTGGGGAAGTCATCAATCAAAGGATAATAATCAACTGGGTCAGTGGGATCTGGGTGTAAAAACCCGACCAGTGACGCAAACGAATAAATACATAAACAAAAGAGTTAAAAAAATAAACATCAGTGGCAACACATCACAATGAGTTAAATGTATGGCAATAATGATGAAAGGGAACATGAGAAGAACAGAAAAAATTATAATTAATTCAATCAGAAAACTCATTAGAAACAGTATTGCTAGATTACAGAGGTAACTGATTGTTTTCCATCATTTCCTTATTTCCTTAAAAAGCTTCTATAAATTTGGCTGTCGCTTCTTGTTATACATCTTAAAAGTCCTTTTTTTTTTTTTCTTGGAATGTTGCACATTACTTCGTTAAAAATCCAGTATAGAATTCATCAGTTTTATAACTAGAAAGATACATCAAAATAAGATTCTAAGGATTGTCTATTTCATTTCCTCCTGCAAAAGAAATGAATGCCTACCTGATACCTGTTGTATTATTTATTTGTTTTTCTCCTTCTCTAACTTGAATTTGGTATCTTTAATGCTTTTATTATTGCTTAGGTTTTATCTGCATGAATATTGTATAGGTAGCAAACAAACAAAGGATAATGAGCAGAGGGCCCTGAGATCCATAGCAATTTAAGGCTATGACTGCACGATGTCAGACCAAGTCCACATTGGGTCAATGATGTGATAATTAGGTTTCACATGGCACATGGTGTAGTTAGATTGAAATCCTTAGAAAAGTGTAGAATTGTCCATTTTACCCACATTCTCACAGAGTAAGTTATTTGTGGCATTCCTATATTCTATGTTCCTTGTTCTACAATTTTAAATTCCAAGGAAAGACTTCATATCATTGGGCAGAGAGACAGAGTGAACTCTGTATGGACCGATGAGATTCACGATGAGATACACACATACTTTAATCCATAACACAATCAGAATCTGAATAGTGATGTCTGTGGTTTCACAAAATTCTCTAGAAAAACCTTGTATTTGCTTTGATGCTATGGATGTCAGAATCAGGGGAGTTTATTTTGTGACTGGAGAGAGTCCAATAGTGAGCCTTATATTTATTACCAAAGGTGTTTAAATTTGTTAAAATTTTATTTTAAATCATACAACATGAGTTCTCACTAACAAAAAATTAGATAAGCTCTTAGACTGGCCATACAATGGCATTTGGGGAGATGAGGCCTACCACCATATAGAGTATCTGAAACAGTAAACATGCTGAGCTTATATTTATAAATGTTGTATAGAGACTATGGGTTGATTTTCATGATTACTTCACTTTGTTCACTGAATTTTAAAAGTCTACTTCCTACTCATCACTGTTTTCTAATGAATTATTTAGTAGTTTACTGGGCTGTGGTCTTTGGAGCAAAATATAAAATCTGAAAAGAAAAACAGAACAAAAGGAAGACCAAAAAAAAAAAAAAAAGAGAGAGAGAGAGAAATGTGTGTTTAAAATTTAATGACAGAGCCCAGGCTTTTCATATTTCCTTTGATGTGTCTTCTTATTAAGGGCTCCTTTAAACCCGAATGGATTTATGAGATGATGAAGGGGCAGCTGAAGACACTGCAGCCTCTAGGAGGATCCCAATCAGTCATCAGGCTGGTACATCAGTGGAACATTCTGGCAAAACTAAAGCAGGGGCTATCTTCACTTGACTTATTTCTATTCTTAGCTGACTTAAAGAAGAATGTTACACACAGCGCAGGACTACTCTCAACCACAAACTCTTTGTAGATCAACTTGTATTCATGTTATCCTATCTGTTGTTTCTTTGCTTAACCTAGTTTTGTTGAAAAACTATACTAACTTTATCGTTTTTCATAGATACCCCATATAAGGTTTTCAAAAGTAGTGATTTTACTTTAAGCAATAGTAATAATTCTGCTATTTCTGGCTTTTAGAAAATGATGTTTTTCATAAACTTCTTGTTGAGTTTCTCAGAGTCTCAGTTCCAGAATGCATCCATAAATTTCAAGCAATGCTGTTTTTTGATATATACCTATGAACTTATGTAATTCAAAAATTTCTACCCTGGCCAAGTTTTTCTTGCTTATTTTGGAGGAATTTTTTTTTTCCAGGCATGGCTTGACATTCTATTTGCCACTTCTTCCATAGCTGTGCTAATGCAATAGCCATAGTTACACGGACAATTTCACTTTAAATTAATTAAAATTAAATACAATTAAAGAGTCACTTATTGTGTTGCACTAGCCAATTTCAGATGTTCAACAGCCACACGAGCCTTGTTTCTGCCATACTGGATGGTACAGGCACAGCAGGTATTTCTAACAAAGCAGAACTTGTTAGTAGGTAGCAAGCACTGCTCTAAATATATGCTACATATATTGCTAATTATCTTTCTCTCTCAGGTCAGAAACTGAGTAGTTGAATTAAATAAATTATTTTGCTGCCAAAGAACTCTTGTTTATGGTTTTTTTTCTTAACCATTTGCAGTGGTGATATTCAAAAGAGTGGGGGAAAAAAAGACAAAAACACAACATATAGTTTTAAACCTTTTGCTAAAAAGGAAAACCAATTCAATTCCCAATAGTTGTTTTGGTAAGAACATATAAGTGTTTTAGTCAATATACTAAAGCTCAAAACAAGTTTTTAAAAATAATACAATTTTATATCTGGATTGTACTTCATTTAGACATTTATGGAACAATTGAAAATACAAATTCAAACAATGCATCTCATTATTCGCCTGTTCTCATCCCATCTCCAGGCTCAAAATGTCTTATTCTTGCAACAATATGAAATAAAATTGCAAAAAAATAAAATAGAAGTGCAGCAAAACAAGTACAGTCTTAACCTGCGCTTTTGACCCAGTGAAACTTTCCTTGGTTGTAATGCTGATACATTCAGAATGAGATGCGGTCCAGAGTGGACCAGCATCTATGAACACATCCATGTGGGAAACACCATAGCCGGACACTCCAGCCTGATGCATTTACTGCCTCTGAGCTTTATTATTATTATTACTTTATGTTTGTCTCTTCCAGGGCTGCTCACGGGAGTGCTGTGCAGAGGCTCAGAGACCAAAAATGTCTTCTAAGTATCCCTAAGACACCCTTACTGTGATAGTTTCCTGCTGAACCTAAACCTTTGATTCTGTTTATTTGTTCTTTGTTCTCCGTGGTGTGTGAAAACACAACAAAATAAGTCTGCCACATCTGGACAGGGATGTGGAAAGAGTTGGTTTTATTCATCCTCTCCAAGCCCTTACTGACTTTTCCTCAATCAGAAAATCCCTCATACGCTTTTCAATTCTCAGTGTTATTTCATTTCCCAGATCCATTAGGATTAGTCATAGCAGGAAAAAAATGGTCTTATGGATCACTGGTATTCTAGAAACCACTCTGGGGATGCCATATGCTAAGAATTAAAGAATGACAACAAATGTTAAGGGAAAAGAAGTTAATAACACCTCAAACAGTTTTCTGAGCAATTTATCTTCAAGTTATCTGAACTCTATCTCTATTATAACTAGTTTCTGCTCAAAAATGGATTTTGGGGGTCAGCTTTGTGTTCTTTCCTTGTGGTCTTCAGTTTTGGTAAAAAAAAAACTATGAGTTCTAAAAGATTGATCATGGTACAATTTTGTTTGACCTGATCATGAGCTCAAATTCATATCGAGGACATTTTTAACCATCTTTTACCCTAGGCAGGAAAGAGCTGACTTAATGAATAAACATATGGGAAGCACTAGCTCAGCCAAAGTGGTTGCTATCGCTCAAAGGAATTTTGGCAGAATAAGAGAATAAGAGGAAGTAAAAATCCCAGACACTGTTCACCATGTTATCTCATGGTTTCCATTCTGGCCTCTATTTGCCTCATATCTCTGTATTTAGACACAACACTTTTGAAAGTAAATGTTCTCTAGGGTAATAGTTATTATTTACCTGTTTTGGGGAGTCAGAGCCCCTCTGGTAATGCAGTGCAAGATATATAATGTCTCCATGAATAAATTAATATACTGATAGCCACCCAAGCTTTTGCATACCACTTCAGACTGAGCACAAATGTTAAAACTAGCAGCCAAAGATTCAAGGAGACTCTGGAATAATATCCATGGTTTAAAAGGAAATTTGGTGGAAATCAGTAAAGTGATGGTATGCTGTGAAAACCATCACATAACAACTGCAAATCTGGTTTACAACTGTATACTCTCAAGACAGTTTCTGAATGAGACTTTCGCATTTGGAAAACAAACTGTACAAGGTTCACATAAATGTAGGTGGCAGTCGAAGTCACAGGACCCCATCATTTACTGGAGGTTCATTTATTCCTAGCTGCCAGGATGCATACTCAGGCACCCCAGTAACTTCCTACTAAATCCTGCTCCTTTGTATCAGATCCTTTGTTGTCAGTAAGGTGAAAACAGCTGGTAAGTTGAATGAACTTTGAGGATTGTGGGTTTTGAAAGGATCAAAGGATACATTAAAAAGATGGAATTCCTGGGTTTTGCTTTCACATTTCATACATATGGCTATTGCGAGTGGTCATGTGACTCTGAGTCATGTGACTGGGTCATGAGCAAGCCTCACAGAGGTACACATGGTACTTGTTCTGTTTCTGAGTAGGTCCAGCCTTATTCACAAACAGTCTCCATAAATGACCGAGATCTTGCTTTCTAACCCACCCCTTTCTCTTTTCATTTTGTTGAGCCCTGTTTCTGTCCTGTGCCTCCTCTAAGGTCCAACTCACATAACAATTCCCAGAAGTAATAAGCCTCGAAGCAGCCAATTCTTTCAGTGCCTACAGGCCTTGGGCACTGTTGGGGTGATGACCTGTTGGCCCAGCTCAGAAAGAAACTCCCGTATGACTCAGCCTAGTCCAAACCGGCCCCACGAGGGCAATTCATGCTTGTCAATATCAGCCTGAAGGACCCTCGGCAGTGAAGCAGGTGTCCATTCAGGCACCTGGACACCCTCCTGCCTACACTGAACTGACTTGAAATAAGCTGCCCAGAGGAATGAACAATGGTGTCAAGACACCAAAGTATGAAGCTACTGGAAAAAAATAAAGAGAATAAGGGATCTACATTCTCTAAGTCCATGTACTAATTTATAGACTGAACTCCCCTCACAATTTTGATAACCCCCAAAATAATAAATTGTGCGTGTATATATACACATAAGGCTCGGACATGACTTCATACATTTTCTTCTTCATATTTTGTTTTGTTTCACTTTCATTTGTTGTTCTCACAACTCAAATTCCTTGTCAAAAATAGATTAACTATTTCAGCTTACCTGTGATAGACCGGGTGGTAGCACTTTCATAAAGAGGAACTCCTTCTCCTGCATTGTTAAAAGCTTTTAGGGAGATGACATAATGGGAACTTGACTCTGGAGGAAAACAGAGGGGAAAAAAAATGTACGTGTGGGTTTATTTAATGTGCTGCAATACTCAGGATAAACATTTTCCTGAAATCAAACTGAATATAGTCAATTAAGCAAACAGTTGAAAAATGAGTGAGCTTGATTCTGGAAAGAAGACAGCAGTGGTGGCAAAATAGTTTTTTGATCTTCCTGAACCTCCAGGTAAAAAGAGACAGAAAGACTAGATAGATAACCAAAGGCATTGAGACTTTTATAACAAAATGAGGTGATGGGGTCTACATGTTCACATCCTAAAATACCAGTGGACTACTGGTACCATCCACCAAGGCCCTTAGAACCCACACATCATTAGTATCTGTGGGAGAGAAATTATAGGGAAACATCAGTCCTGAAAACAGAGTAATTATAAAATAACTACCAGGTAATGCTATTAATAGAAAGTTCAATAGACCAGCTTGAGAATAGTAAATATGAACACTTGAAACTGACAAACTCTCCTTGCTAGGACAGGGTTCACACTGGGGAAAAACTGTTGAAAATATATTTAAAATTTGTGAGTAGGTCAGGAACAACAGACATGAAGAGAAAGTACAGATCAATGTAGGAGAGAGGAATAGTCTTGAAAACTTGGAAAGCAAACTGCCATATTTTTAGTGTGCACCAGGGTTTGGCCAACTTTTCTGTAAGAGACCAAGAGAGTTTATGTAGCTTTGCAATCCACCTAGTCTCGGTCACATACTCATTTATGTTTGCTTACAATTCTTCAAAAGTACAAAAAGCATTGTTAGTTCAGTGATTCCCAAACAAAAATAGGACCTGGATCAGATTTGACCCACAGGCTACAGTTCCCTGAGCCCTGAGCCTGGTGTAAGAAAAACAAGAGGACAGGGAGCTCTGTGTGTTTACAAAAGCTATTTGAATTTCTGGGCATGCAGGGAAACAAATCTCATAAAAGCAAGCACAAAAATTTCTGTTGAGGTTAAGTTTCTTACAAAATAAAATGAAGACACTATCATACCTCCAGACGAGTACACAAAAAGAGGATCAAAAGTACATAAGAAAAATACATCAAACCTGCAATTTGCTATTCCAAAGTGAGATAAGTAATGTTAAGAAAATAAAATGCCAGAGATGCAAGAGTAACATAAATCAGAATGATTAAAATTTAGAAATGAGGTGGCATATTTCAAGAAAGAATTATATTTAAGTAAAGAAGTAATTTTAGAAAGTGCAACAAGGTGAATAAATAAATGCAATAAGGAGAAAACAAAAACAAGAGTAAAATAAGAAAAAGTAAAGAAAAATGCAGGAAAAAGTGACAAATATTACAGCACACACAACACACACTCGAGAAGGAAGAACTTAACATGGGAGTTATAGTTGTCCTTGAGGAAAAAAAATCAAAGACAGGGAACAGAACAAATGCACAGAAAAAAATGCAATTCAAGAAATTTTTGCTGACTTAAAAAAATCTTTTAGGTATGTGGACAAAAAGAATACATGATTTATAAAGGGGAACATTAGATTATTATCAGATTTTTTGACAGCATCGTTTTGTGCCAGAAGAAACTGAAGTGATTTGAGACACTCAAGGTAAGAAAATGTGTTTCAAGGATTTCACAGTCAAAAAAAGTTAACTTTAAGTATAAAGGACTGTTATAACAGTTTGATAACACCCAAAGTGTTATCAACTTGCAAGGAATCAGGAAATATTGTTCCCCTGATCCTGAGAACCACTGGAAAATGAGCCTTAGATATTTAAAGTGACCGGAGAGATACTGATCTAATAGCTAACTGAAGAACAATAAATTTAATGAACTAAGACTAATTGAGGGTTAAAAGGAGAAATTTTATTTTGCAACACTACATGTTCTGATAGTGTCCCCATATTATAATCATAAGACAAAATTAAGGGAGAATGAGGATAATATATATAGAAACATTTTAATAATTATTATTGATGGTGAAACTATTATTAATGTTATTCTGATACTAATACAATATGAGATAGAGCAAATGAGAAATCATGAGAAAGTCTAATTCTGTTATACCCTATGTCCTTCAGATTGGGATCCCTGGTGTGAACAAGGACACACATATGTAAAGGACATACACATGTAAAATAGAAGAGATGAAGTATTGTGTTCCTAAAATGTAATTGAAAAAAAAAACAGTTTAAATGCAAAGGTATTTTATCTCTAATTCTGTTCACTGAAAACATCTAGAAAAAGTGACTTAGTGACACAGGGATCTCTTCACCCAAACTGAGATTCTGAAAAAAATATCTTTCGCACTGCAAGGAACAAAGGCTTCTTGGCGAACTGGCTGATTTGTAGTCTAAGGCAGAAAGCATAGCAATTGAGCCTGAAGCATCCTGACATCCCAAATAGAAAGGAAACCATCAAAGAATAACAGGATTGTGTCAAATTGATTCAGAAGTCAAGATGGAAGTGCTTCCACAGAACCAGAGATGAGGACAAAGTTGCAATGAAATTAAACTTAACAAATACACGTGAATGTATGAATTCACAGATATTTTAAAGAATAATAAGAGTTGGTCATTTCTGAATTGGACAGGGTAGCAAACTACTATCTTCAAGTCCAGGTAATGAGCCAAATGTTTAGCATGACCTTCTTAAACAAACTCTACCAGTGTGCAACCAAACAGTATATGAAGGGTGTATCCTATTATAACAGTATTCCAACTAATAAGAAACATGCAAATATCACTTTTTCAGCACCAATGAACAAACTACACATTAAGAATTCATGATTTCTAAGATAAAACAGAGAATCTAGACATTATATACCTAATGAAATAGGGCATCTCAGGTGGTGCTAGTGGTAAAGAACCCGCTTGCCAATGCAGGAGACATGAGATATGGTAGTTTGATCCTTGGGTCGGGAAGATTCCCTGGAGAAGGAGATGGCAACCTGCTCCAGTATGCCTGCCTGGAGAATCCCATTGACAGAGGAGCCTGGTGGGCTACAGTCCACAGGGCTGCAAAGAATTGGACATGACTGAAGCTACTTAGCATGTGCACCACAATGAAATAAACAGTATACTACCCTCTAGTCTGGCTGAAGGGATCAAACCTACTTGGTCTGATCAAGCTTCTGGATCCAATGGCCAATTTGCAGAAAATACAGCCAAGAAACAGGGTGAACTCTAACTTAAAATAATTCCTAAAGTCATACATTGGTTGCATGTAGTTTTCTGTGTCTGTGTTTGATTTTACAACAGCCTTTAAAATGAATGAATTTATCTCTGACAGTGGTCTTTGAAAACTGATTAGATGGAGTTTTCTTCATGAAATTTTTATGTGACCTAAATATTTGCCTTAAAGACTTGACATTCCAAACCACAATGACACAAGAACCACAATACAACAAGAAGAATAAAATAAAATTACATTTAATGCAGTCAAAGGGCTTCCAGTCAGCAACTGCTTCGCATAAAGAGGAAATATTTATTTTTTTTAGATTTATGTTGTCAACCTGATTTACCAAAAAAAAAAAAAAGTGATTAGTCAACAAGTGTTAAACGCTGTTGGAGATAAGAATACATGGAAAGGATGGACCTCTCTTGCCAGGTTACAATCATAATTCTGGGCAGAAAACACAATGAAAAAGTATATAAAATTAAGCAAAAAGGCATGTCATACAATGTATGAATGCTACATGAGTGTAGAGGCCTGAAAACTTAGTGAGGGATTATCTCATTAAGGATTTATCAGACTTTGAATTAGGACTGAAGGGCATGGGTGGGATTTAGAGATAGAAGGATGGTCATGAAAAGCTTGAAAAGCTTTGAAAAGCCTTGAAAAGCTCAGCAGTGGCCAAAGGACTGAAAAAGGTCAGTGTTCATTCCAATCTCAAAGGGCAGTGCCAAAGAATGTACAAATTATCATACAATTTTGCTCATTTCGCATGCTAATAAGATTATGCTCAAAATCCTTCAAGCTAGGTTTCAACAATATGTGAACCAAGAACTTCAAGATGTACAAGCTGAGTTTAGAAAAGGCAGAGGAACCAGAGATCAAGTTGACAACTTCTGCTGGATCACAGAAAAAAAGCAAGAAAATTCCCCCCAAAAACGTGTATTTCTGCTTTGTTGATTATGAGAGAGCCTTTGTGTGGATCACAACAAACTGTGAAAAATTCTTCAAGAGATGGGAATACCAGACCGCCTTAGAAACCTGTATGCAGGTCAAGAAGCAACAGTTAAAACCTTACATGGAACAACAGACTGGTTCAAAACTGGGAAAGGAGTATGATAAGGCTGTATTGTCACCCTGTTTATTTCACTTATATGCAGAGTACATCATGCGAAATGCTGGGCTGGAGGAAGCACAAACTGGAATCAAGATTTTCCGGAGAAATATCAACAACCTCAGATATGCAGTTTATACCACCCTAATGGCAGAAAGCGAAGAGGAATTAAAGAGCCTCTTGAAGAGAGTGAAAGAGGAGAATGAAAAAGCTCGCTTAAAATTCAGCATTCAAAAAACTATTATCATGCATCCGGTCCCATCATTTCATGGCAAATAGATGGGGAAAAAGTGGAAGCAGACAGATTTTCTTTTCTTGGGCTCCAAAATCACTGCAGATGGTGACTGCAGCCATGAAATTAAAAGATGCTTCCTCCTTGGAAGAAAAGCTATGATAAGCTTCAGTTCAGTTCAGTTCAGTCACTTAGTCGTGTCCGACTCTTTGTGACCCCATGAATCACAGCACGCCAGGCCTCCCTGTCCATCACCAACTCCTGGAGTTTACTCAAACTCATGCCCATCGAGTCGGTGATGCCATCCAGCCATCTCATCCTCTGTCGGCCCCTTCTCCTCCTGCCCCCAGTCCCTCCCAGCATCAGGGTCTTCTCCAATGAGTCAGCTCTTCGCATCAGATGGCCAAAGTATTGGAGTTTCAGCTTCAGCATCAGTCTTTCCAATGAACACCCAGGACGGATCTCCTTTAGGATGGACTGGTTGGGTCTCCTTGCAGTCTAA